AGAACCACTTTATCGTAAACAGAAGCATGCTATACCTGTGATTAATTTTAAAAATAAAACACTCAAAATCTCTTTTTGAACAAATGTCTTTATTAACATTGTTTGAACTAAATGTATATAATATTTTAAGTCTTATATATAATAGCAAAATGCAAAATAGTCCTTCAATTTTCTATAGTCTTTATAAACAAAAACCAGAGTACAAATATTTATTGCGTACAAATAGTACCCTGTTAGAGCCTTCATGCAAAAGTAAGCTTGAACAATTCAAAATGACTTATCGGGCACCTCATATCTGGAAAAAGTTTTTACTAATTAATTTAAATAATATTGATTTAAAAAACTTAAATTGCTTTAAAAAACTATTAAAAAAAGTATTTTAAAGTATAAAAATTTAGTTAGTAATTTTTTTATTATTTTATTTATAAATATTTTCTTTTTTATTTAGTATAAATATATTTTTTTACATTGCATTAGTAATAAATGTGTAAATATTATTTCGAAAAACAAAGAAAAAACAAACAAAAAAAAAAAAAAAAAATTTTCGTAAAAATATATTTGTATACTTGTTATCTGAATTTTAATACCATTATAATTTAATGATTTTATGTAAAAAATTTATGAATATGTTTTTATATTTACGGCAATGTAAAGCGGTTTTTGATGATAAGACAATTTGGTCTTCTGCAAGTTTTCCGCGTTCTTTTAACAGTGTTAGAGTGTATTTATTATTTTCGTAAAACCACTTTGTAATATTTTGTTTTTATTTATAGAATCACTGTTAGCGAATCTTTATTGTGTGATTACGAATTTGTATAATTAAGGAACAAAAAATAAACTTAAAATAAAAAAATAAAATATATTTTTATATTTAAAACTTTTTTTATATCATTAAAGATTTATTATTATTTATTATTTGAAATAATTCAACAGCAATGATCATAAAGTGACTATTTGGCTTTAAATATATATTTTAACTATTTTTAAAGAAACATTCTTTAAAGGAACACAAATTATTCTTTAGAGGAACTTGAAATGGTTGCTATAGTGCTATAATGATGCAACATTACAATTACCATTTAGTACGTTGCTGTGAGTCTTAATTATATTTTAATAAAAAGTATAAATATTTATTTTTATCTAAAACTACAAAGCAAAAAAAAAATTCCTGTTTCTATAAATAGAACTTTTAAAAAAAAATTATTTTTAATTTATACAAAATTATTCAAAACATGGTCGAGTTAGTAAGACTATTACTTTACAGATTTTCATACTTTATCGTTTGTTTTAAAAGTAAACTTTACTTTAAGTTTTTGTTACAAATAAATTTATAAAACTTTTATAAATACCTGTAGGAATAATAACAACAGGCTGCATTCCACCAACTAAAAATTATTTAAAAATATTACATAAACATAAAACCATTTTATTAGCTTTTTTAAACATTTTTTTATAAATAAACATATTTAAAACTCTAAATAGAAAATGTTTGATTTAAAAATTACTTGATACTCTATTAATAATTTTGAAGTTTCTTATTGCGGCATCTAAGCTATCACTCCATGGATCTGAAGCATATATTTTGATATCATTGAAAACTTGAACTTCATTGTAAACATTAGAAAACAAAGTATTTTTATTGTATTTGATTGCAAAATTATAAAACGTTCCATCAAAAGTTTGGCTAATCTCAAAGGATAACCAATCAAACAAACTTATTTCAAATAATGAAATAGCAAGTTTTGTTTTTTCAGTGTAAATCCATAAAAAGTTCATTTGAGTATAAATCTTTAAAACAGTGTTGCAAGTATATTGATAATTGTTGCAGTTTGTTAATTGAACAATTGAACAAGGATAAAGAGACCGTGAGTATTTTATTTGAATATCTAATCCAATTAAAAATTCCTTATTTAACATTGGTATTAGACCAATACCATAACCTTTGAATATTTGTAAAGAAACACTTTCAACAAAGTAATCTAAAACAAAAAATTATATTACAGAACTTTTTAAATATATGTGAATATATATAAAAACTAAATTTTTATTGAATAATTTTATTTTAATATTTTATTAGTATAAATATTTTTAGATTAAATTTATTTTAAAAAATTGTTTAGTATTCATGTTCTTTAAATAAAAAATTTATATTAAAAAATAAACGATCCATTAATAAAAAAAGAATTGAGGTGCATTTGATACTTATTTGAACCATAATTTTTTTTAATTTATTCACAGCAAAAGTAACAAAATAAAGTTACAAAGTAATGAAGAAAATAAAATACAATTATTTTATACAAAACCTTGATTATCAGTAAGTAATTATAAATTGCTCTGATATTCAAAAAGCGTTAAAAAAATGACTCACAAACACAGGTTGTATTATCCTCCCCCAATTTCCATCCTAAAGTACACGAGCAAAAATAACTACCATTCGTATTATAACATATTCCATTACTCCAAACGCATGGTTGTATCCGGCTAATACACTCATTTACGTCTACAAAAAAAAAGTTAGTAAAAGAAAACTTTAAAGACAATGCATTTGTTGAATAAATATAAACACTACAACCCCCAATCCTCACATGACAAAATGAAAATGTGTAAAAAATATCAAGAATAGAGAATTATTGGTTTTTAAGTTATCATTCTAAAAAAATTCAAATATTTTTTATTGAAAACAAATGCTGAAGGGAGTTGTAGTTAACAACTAGTTAACTATCAATTAATTAGTTCATTCTGTTTTAGTTTATTTACAAGGCATTACTGAGTTGTCTTATAAACAAAATTATTTGTAAATGATACTGTCATATCCAACAGATATATGCAATTAAACACATTTCAATAGTACTTAGTTTATATCTGAATACCAGTGGCGTGCTGACATGAGAAACACTTTGAAAAATTTTTATCAAAAAGCTTATTTTGAAGGATTTTATTATATATGTTTGACATGTCCTATAAGTACATGAAAAAGCATTTTTTTAAAGACATTTAGTTATTAAGACAATAAAAAGTTAAGAGTTCTTTGTGAAAGACAGCTTAAAACAGATGAACTATCAACGTTATCAAGCGCAGAAATATGTCTACTTAGTAATAAAAAATAATGTAACTGAAATGATCAAACTAATCAAACTAATCTTAACAAAAAATGGAAACGCGTATGAAGATTTGGAAAAGAGAAATCAAATTACAAATACAATTAGTTCTACACGAAACTGTTTGCTCAATTTATAAAGCAAACCATTAAAAGTTTTTGTTATCAAATGCAAAACAACAACCTTATAGGACTTTCTAATTTTTTTTTACAATTTGCTAGCAAAGCAAATGTCTACTTTTAAAAGTGCGTAAAAAATATGAGGAGTTCATAATCTTTTCCTATTATCAAACAATAAAAATGTGTTTATTTTAACTTATTACCTTATGATTTTATGTATTGAATATCCAAATTATTTGTTAAAATAAAGAAGTAAAAAAATAGTTATCGGTAATCGTTTTGTGTGGTTGGATATTGAGAAGCTAAATAAGTATTCAAATAGCAGTATGATGAATAGTTACGCATAATGGTGACATCTGTAAATGATATATATATTAAGTTTCATTATGAATAAATATTTGACTGATGTAGCATAAAACTTATTAAACTAGAAACTTTTTAAGTGTTTAACTTAAAAAGTTTCTAGCTTAATAAGCCATAAAAAAATATGCTATTTTAATATCAAACAACAAAAATTACAATAGGGATATTAAAGGGTATTTGCGTTACAAAACTTTTATAAGTATATAAAAGTATACAAGATAAGTTTTGTAATAGTATACAAAACTTTTAAAAGTATATGTCAATTTAAAAAAAATATATTTTGTTATTGTAATTTTAAAAATGTTTTGACTGCACAAGGTTTTAATCTCAAAACTAAAGTAATTGTTTTAGTTCCACGATTACGTCACAACTTAATATTATCGTAATTGACTATGCTAGAAATATCAAGCTTGAAACTAAATAGTATTAAAATGGAATGTTTTAATAAAGAATGCAATCTGGTGTTCATGCTGTAAACATGCTTTAAATTCAACTTTATCAAAGAGTTCTAACGTACAAGCAATAAGAAACTGTTTGGGTGTTATTAGTGAAGTTGTTGCTTTTTTCAATATTTATGCAAAACGAAATTTTGTCATAAAGATCATGTTGAATTTATAGTTTCATTATATGTAACACGATGGGTCGAGAGACATGATGCTTTGCTGACGTTTAGAGTTAAACTTCCACCAATAATTGATACACTATAAAATATAGCGAAATGAAATGACATAATTACATCATCAAAAGCAAGAACTTTACTATCAGCGAGTAGAGAAAGTGGTTTCATTGTGTATTTAGGTTGTACTGTGCATGTGTTCTCTCTAACAAAGGGCCTCAGTGAATTGTGTATAAAAAAATAAAAAATTAGATTTACTTGACGCAAAAAATTGCATTAAAAACACGATCGTTTAGGTGTGAAAAGATATTATACGTAAACGCAGTGTCAAATTCGAATATTATAATTTTGAAGACGGTGACGGCCTTTAGATACCAAAATTTTTACTGAGTAGCAACAACATTTTTAAAGTTTTACTTAGTAGTTATTATTTGCATATATTAGTTAAAATGGAATAATAATAAAGGTAATTGAATTGTTGATTCGAAAATGATAAAATCAATAAAAAGATGTTTTAGTATATAAAAAACTGTGATTCTCTGCTACATTTATCTGAATGTTAAAAGCTTGATTTGTTTACATTTTCAAAACTGTTTTTCTAAAAATCTGAAATATACAATTTAATAAATTTTACTTTTTTATTTCAAATAGTCTTACTTGATTTAAAATTGTTTTCAGATCTGAGTATTCAATTTTTTTCTGAACAAAAATAGAATTCACCTAACACTACTTTTGTAGATGTATGATACATTTCTACTAAGGTATGAAACTAATATATATATATATATATATATATATATATATATATATATATATATATATATATATATATATATATATATATATATATATATATATATATATATATATATATACATATATATATATATATATATATATGTATATCCTATTAGCTTATCTATATCAAAACTATAGATAAGCTAATAGGATAGTTTATAGAGTTAATAAGATAATTGTTTAAAATAAAGAAAAAATAAAAATAAAAAATTTTTAAAAAGAATTTAATTCATTAACATCGTTAATAAGTTTTTGTTTCAATTTTTTTTGAATAGGTAAAGAGAAGAACAATATTTCAGCTCGTCACTTAATAAAGCGTTCTATAATTTAGGACCTCTTATAGCAATAGAAATTTAGTAGCCAAATAATGCATTTTAGCCAAATAAACACATTTTAATTTATTATATAATAAATTATTAATATAATGAATTAATAAGTTAATTAAAATAAAATTAAAAATAGTTAATTAAAGTAAATAGTTAATTAAATGTTAGTTAAAGTTAATTAAAATAAAATAAAAAGTAATTAATTAAAATAATAAGTTAAATGTAATAAATATATATAAAAAATTTTGTTTTGAAAGAATCACTGCATCTATAAGTTCATTTTCAGTAATTTCATAAATATCCATTTTAGTGGTCTTATTAGGAGTAAGATATGTCTCAAAGTTCACTTCAGTGGTTTCTATTTTTGACGCTAGAGTGGAACCTACACTTTCAAAATATATATATATATATATATATATATATATATATATATATATATATATATATATATATATATATATATATATATATATATATATATATATATATATATATATATATATATATATATATATATATATATATATATATATATATATATATAATATATATATATATATATATATATATATATATATATATATATATATATATAAATATATATATAATAAATTATTAATATAATGAATTAATAAGTTAATTAAAATAAAATTAAAAATAGTTAATTAAAGTTTGTAGTTAATTAAAAGTTAGTTAAAGTTAATTAAAATAAAATAAAAAGTAATTAATTAAAATAATAAGTTAAATGTAATAAATAAGTTAAATATAAATACTTTATGTTCTTTATGTATGTCTGTGTTCTGCCTGAACCTCTGGCGCGGTGTTCGCTCACCCGTAAGTTACTTAATGTTTATGTTTATGTTTATGTTTTTTATGTTTTTTTTTTGTATGTTTGTATTCTGTCTGAACCTCTGGCGCGGTGTTCGCTCACCCGTAAGTTACTTTATGTTTTTTATGTATGTTTGTGTTCTGTCTGAACCTCTGGCGCGGTGTTCGCTCACCAGTAAGTTACTTTATGTTTTTTATGTATGTTTGTGTTCTGTCTGAACCTCTGGCGCGGCGTTGACTCACCCGTAAGTTGGTTTATGTTTGTTTGCGTTCTGTTTATACTCTAATGCAGCGTGAGCTCAGTAACTAACTACTTACTCCAACTACAAAATCTACACTCACTTTAGACTCCTGTATTTTGTTAGATGCAGTGTTTGTCCTAATGCACTTCCAAAATGTCATGCCTGGTTTACTCAAAGTACTGTTGCGGGAAGTAACTTCTTTTAACTACTCCAGGTCAGGACAGGATAATCGAAATCAATCTTGCTACTGGTATCACGTAACCCAGTACCACCTGCCACAAGCCCTGCTGCCTTGCAGAGTGTGCTTTTCTTATGCAAAGGCTATGAGAAATAAAGTCCGACTAAAAATTCCCCTGCCTTGGGGCTCTTGGTTAAGTAAAGGCTAGAGACGGTGTGTCGATAAAATTACTCATCTTGGGCAGATGTTAACTGCATCCAGCTACTGTCTTGTAGAAGGCCTCCTAGGCAAAGACTTTAGGGGTGAGCAGAAAAATTCTGCAAACCAGTCTCGAACCCCTTCTTCATCTATTAGACTGGCGTAGATGTAACCTGTGTTACATTGTTTCCTGCCTAGGATGATGAATGCTGGATCTCCTTGACTCTACTCATAGAATTTTGCTTATGCCTCCTTGATAATGGCTATGCAACTCTTCCTGTTATCTCCATATGAGGGTACAGCTCTAAAACTCAGTTTAATGGTTCTGAGGCCGGTTGGTAACAAGGTTTCCCAAACTCTGTAGTAGCTCTAAGAAAGGCTGATTCCATCAACAGCTGCAAAATATCAGAGTAATAACAGTGCCGTGTTGCGCATGAATAGTGTCCCTGTTAATGCTTTTGGTGTGCATTGTCAAGGCCACATAAGGAGCCCTATATCACGGCTTAGGGTTAATTAACAGGACTGAGACAACTGCATAGCTCATTGATTAGGAGGCTGTGCCCTATCTATGAATGAGTCAAGTTCTCATTAAACCCAAATCATGACCAAAGTAACAAAAAATTTAAAACCTAAAAAACCATCCCCACCACCTAAATATTTTAATATCTTTTACAAACATTCGCAGTCTGCGAAGCAACTTTCCATCAGTTGAGTCTTACCTCCTGCAAAATACA